TTCTTCAAAATGGGTATAAATAACACTAAATTATCTGACCTTTGAATATTCTTAAGTCCAGAAAGACTCAACATTCTAAAGATATAACTGATTTTAAAGTGCCTTTGGTCAAAACCAGGTATTTCCATGTTATATTTTAACAAGTGAACAGGTAAGTTGCTAGATAGCAAAAGTTCTCTCTTATGAATGCAGATACCCAGGGGCCACAGAATTAAAGATTAAAGAAAAGAAAAAAAAGATTGAAGAATCTACCAAAGTACCAAGTAAAATCTATACCTCCATGGTATGATATGACAGCCACTAGCTACATGCAGCTATTGAACACATGAATTAGGGCTAGTCTGAATGGAGTAGTGCTGTAGCTATCAAATGCATACTGGATTTCAAAGATTTTATATGAAAAAATAATATATCATTTATTATTTTAATATTGACTACACATTAAAATGCTGTTTTGAATATATGAAACTAAATATATTAATTTTATGTTTTTAATGGGAAAAGTACTATCATTTAATAAGTATCTACTGTTGAAACTATTAATATTAAATTTAAATTCGTTGATAAGTTCTGCTGTATTATGTTCTCTGAAAGGAGAACTTCAATGAGAAATAAGACATTTAAAAAAATATATATATTTTTTACATCGATCAGCTGCCTCCTGCACATCTCCCACTGGGGATGTGCCCACAACCAAGGTACATGCCCTTGACCGGAATCGAACCCAGGACCTTTTGGTCTGCAGGCTGACACTCTATCCACTGAGCCAAACTGGTTTTGGCAGAAACAAGACATTTCTGATGTTAAATTATTTTTACTCAGGTATTGGGAACCATTACTTTGTATAAATTCACTGGCAAATTACCCATTTTTCTGAGTACTGGAAGTGGAGGGTCAGCCAGTGAGTGTGCAAAGCACTTCAGGTTGCTCTTGGAAAGAAGCTTTATGAAAAAGTAGAAGCCTGATGCACGAAATTCTTGCAAGGGACTCAGCCCTTGCAGCCCCAGCTTTGTCTGGAAGGTCATCCCAAAGGTCATTCTGCTGTTCGGCCTTCTGGTCTAATTAGCATACTATACTTTTATTATTAGACTAGTGGCCCTGGGCACGATGCACATTAAAAGAGAATTAGAGGAAATATTTTAACATTGCTATTTGCCTTTTCTCTATAATAGAAATGTCAGAGATGAAAGAAAATTAGTAAAATGTGTATGAAAATCTCCCTCCCATCAGAGTCTGGAACCAGAGTCAAGTCCCCACCAGCCCTTGTGTGGCTCAAAATCGCAGGAGACCCAGACCCAGCTGCCCCCAACTCTGTCAAGCCCTATGGGGCAGGGGGCACAGCCTCAGATCTCCAGGCCTGGTGCCAGGTGCGGGGCACAGCCTCAGGTCCCCCATTAAATCCCACCTGTCAGGGGGTGCAACATCAGGTCCCCTTTTAACCCCCACAGGGTGGGGGACACAACCTCAGGTCCCCGGGCCCAGTGCAGAGGTGGGGGGGGGGCACAGCCTCAGGTCTCCTGGGGCCAGAGGGAGGGATAACTATTTGCATAATAGCTCTTTATTATATAGGATGTTCAACTGCAAATAAAATGGCCTTGATGGAGTGAGGTTTTGCATAGATGTGATGAGCCAAAAAAAGCAACTTCTGAGGGGTTCTAAATTGGGAGAGGTATTTTAAGAAAGGAGGGCAAGGGCGAAGGTTCTCTCTAGCAGGGATGGGAACATCTGGCCCATGGGCTATATAAGGCCTGTGAAATCACTTATTTTGGCCCTCCCAAGGCATTAGGGGTGAGTTAATTAAATATTTGATCAAATATATCGGGCTAGTTTTTACATTGATAATTTCGTATGGCCCTCAAATGATGTTATATTCAAATGGGCCCAGTCAGTGTAAGCTCAGTGGTTATGTGTCAACCTATGAACCAGGAGGTCAGTTTGATTTCTGGTCAGGGCACATGCTGGTTTGCAGGAGGCAGCTGATCAATGACTCTTTCTCATCATTGATGTTTCTCTTTTTTCCTTTTCCTTCCTCTCTAAAATCAAGAAAAATATATTTTTAAAAATCCAAATGGCCCTTGGCAGAATAAAGGTTCCACACTCCTGCTCTAAAGGAATAATTCCAGTAGCAGTTTCTAAAAGAGAGAAACTACGGAAGAATGCCTGGCTTTCAGAACCCTATTTGGTCTTTCTGAAGGTGTATAATTATTTTCAGATACATTTACAATTTATATATAAAATATAATAAACTTTTGCTAGCTCACATAAACTTTATCTATCTGGAGTAAATTATGGATAATTATCTTTTTTTCTTTATTACATATAATTTGCCATATGTTAAAACTAAGGAATGTGGAGGAATTACTGCCAATCAAAACAAAGAGGTACTCAAGAGTAACAACATAAAAATACACCTACAATGGTTTCTGCTAGCCTTTATTTGAGAAAATTTTCACAAAAATCCCCATCCAACACAAGTGAATCTGTATAAATCCCACATGCTTCTTTCCATTAAACAAACAGAAAAATGGCTTATGACAATGGTATAACAAAGCTGACTTAAACGAATCACTCTCATCTATATTTTATATACCCTGCTGAAAAATAGGCTCAAGAACAGAGGAAACCAGATAACATTTTAAAATCATTTTAAAATCTAATTTGCTCTTGCACTAGCCTTTTGTGGAAGGCAAATAAATTTACTTTTTTGATAACATCAAGGTGTAATACCAATAAACTTTACACCAAAAACACAAATGTTCTCGTTGATAGTTTTGGCATGAATAAAAGAAAGACATGAAAGAATTCTAGTTTCATAAATCACTTTTGGGAACAAAAACATCAGCAAAATAAAATATTTGCCTATTCTATTTTCTTCTTTGACATTTTGACAGAGCTGAGTACTATTACCAACTAAGTAGCTTTCATTGCTTGTAAAAAGAGGAAAGGCACCAGTCAGAAATATGAAAGCGAATCTTATTAGACCAATGGTACAAAACTTCACCTTTAAACGTCTAAGGAAATTTTAACCCACAAATTTGGTCATTCTCCTCACTTGGATGTATATTCTGTCATTTAGTAATGTAATATCACAGATAGATTTCCACTACATTTGCTGCCTTTATGACAAGGATTTCGCTGCGAGGTCCTCTAAAGTAGTTCTTATCAATTCTTAACAGCAGATGGCGATGTTGCACAAATTAATGAACCACTTTTATGCCACACCAGAGAAATGCATACATGGAGTCAAAAGGGGGAAAGGCTTTTGGGTTCGCAATACCTGGAACATTAACAGCACTGCCTGAGATTTTAACAACATAACTCACTCCCGCTTCCACTTTTGGACTTTATCCAGGTCATTACAGCAGTGTTCTGTTAATTCCAACATGCTGTTGCTTAACTGCAGGCTGCACGGCCCTAAGTCCTATAGTTCTCGCCATTGTGATTAGACAAGCCCTGTAACAAGTTAGCAGGGTTTTAGAAAGATAGTACAGAAAGGATGAATTCCTAGCTCCTTTCCTGGGAGAAGTGGAAAAAGTTTCAAGTGATAGTATTTTTAACTGTTTACAAACATGGTCATTTGTATCCACATTCTCTATTTATACCAGTATTGGCCTTTAGGTACCTCATACTCATAGTGATTCTTGGATTTGCTTTCACAACATGTATTCTCAAGTATTTACTGTATTCATGATGATCCTTCCAGTGTTTTTTTAAATATATGTCTCGGGACATATAAGGGTCAGGAATTAACTCAGTGGCTGGCAATATAAGACTTGGTAAATTTTCTAATTTTTTTCTTTGGTACCTGTTATGTTAAAAACTCAAGCAACCACATATCTGACAAAGAGGCCGTATGTAGGATATATAAGAATGCTCAAAATTCATTAGTATAAAGAATAATCTAATTAGAAAATGGGCAAAGAACATGAACAGATATTTCACTGAGGAAGCTATATATGGCAAATAAGCTCATAAAAAGATGTTCAACATCATTAGCCATTAGAAAAATGAAAGTAAAAATCAAAATGAGGTCTCATTATAGACAACTATCAGAATGACTAAAATAAAATTAACAGCAAATACTGGTGAGGATGTGAATTGGTCATACATTGGTGGGAACATAAATAAAATGGCACTCACTCTAGAAAAAGAGTAGAGCGGTTTCTTAAAAAAAATTAAATATGCTTACCATACAACCCAGCAATTGCCCTCTTGAGAGCATTTATCCAAGAGAAATGAAAATTTATGTACACATAAAAACCTGTACACGAACGTTCACAGAAGATTAGTAATGGCCCAAAACTGAAAATGACCCAATGTCCTTCAATGGGTAAATGGATAGACAAACTGTGGTACATCAATACCATGAAATATAAGCAATAAAAAGGAACCAACTATTTTCAAGAGCATTATGCTGCGTGAAAAAATGTAATCTCGCCCTAGCCGGTATTGCTCAATGTTTAGAATGTCAGTCCTTGCACCAAAGGGTCAAGGGTTTGATTCCTGGTCAAGGGCACGAGCTGGGTTGCAGGTTTGATCACTGGCCCCAATTGGGGCACATGTGGGAGGCAACCAATAGATGTGTCTCTCTCACATTGATGTTTCTCTCTCTCTCCATCCCTTCCGCGCTAATAATTAATGGAAAAAATATCCTCAGGTGAGGATTAAAAAAAAAAAAAGTTAATTTTGAAAGGTTACGTACTATATAATTCCATTTATATCAGCGGTTGCCAACTGGTAGTCCAAAAGGTTGGTGACCACTGATTTATATAACATTCTTGAAATGACAAAATTAGAGAGATGGAGAACGGATTAGTGGTTGCCTGAGGTTGGGGCTTGGGAGTAAGGAAGGGAGGTGGCTGTAGCTATAAAAGGGTAGCAAGGAATCCCTGTGGGGGAACTGTTCTGCATTTTGTGGTGGTGATCACATGAATTTACATATGTAATAAAACGGCATAGTACTAAATACACATAAATACACAAAAAGAAAATTCAAGCAGTTGAGCACAAATGTTTTAATTCTCTAAAATGAAAAATTTTTTTAAAGAGTTATCTATAGTTCAAAACTCATTTCTATGAGGTGTCACATCCATTACCCTTTTACAAGACATAAAATTAAGAAAGGACACCTCCAGGAGCTACCGAAACATTTCAGCTAATGGTTAAGATAAACTTAAGGGTGTTTTCACACAGAAATCCAAAGAGGACAATGAGAATGAAACAAGTTTCACATGGTCATTCAAATCTTGGTAAAGGAATTAGAGTGGAAGCCCAAGCTGGTGAGCAAATGGGAGAAGGAAAGAAAGCATGGTTCAAACAGATCACATGAGGAAACCCAGTACAAATGCTGGCTTTGGCATTATCTAGGTAACCCCTATTTTTTGTCCCAGGTGACTCTATTAAGTCCTATTGTTGCAAAACCAGTCCAAATCCTGTCAAGTTAAAAAGAAGTCCCTCAATGACTTGTTGGGTGTAGGTGGTAACCCATGTCCTCCCACACCAAGAGACATCAGTTCTGGCAAGTAAGTTCCAACGTGCCTTTGTGGTGCTGTTGATAGGAAGCCTTAGGCCAGGCGCGTCCCAGTGATGTTCTGCTGGCTGAGATACAAGGTGGGAGGAGAGTAGGCCTGATTACTCAATCAACTTCTTGGCCTTGAAGAAGCGGCGAAGGTAGAAGACCTGCCAAGTGGCTAGTCCAATGAGACAGAACATTGAAAAGATGCTGAAGTATAGGACCCGAGTGTTTGTTGACTCTAAAAAACAAAAACAAAAACATTGTAAATGAAATAATGAAATAAAGTGCAACAGGCTAAACGATGGCCAGGGAGGAAAGGCAATAAATTAACTTCACTCTGTCCTAACAGTAGGATTTCAGTTAGCTTTTTCTTAAAATTTTCATTATTCTATATATTATATATAAATGTTAAAAATTGCGAAGATTAGCCCTAACCGGTTTTGCTCCGTGGATAGAGCATCGACCTGTGGACTCAAGGGTCCCAGGTTCAACCCCAGACAAGGGCATGTACCTTGGTTGCGGGCACATCCCCAACAGGGAGTGTGCAAGAGGCAGCTGATTGATGTTTCTCTCTCATCAGTGTTTCTAACTCTCTATCCCTCTCCCTTCCTCTCTGTAAAAAAATCAGTAAAATATATTTAAGGAAAAAAATTGCAAAGATTAGTCCTATCAATTTGATACACAGTAAGCTAACTGAGAATATGGTCAACTACATATCATGGAAGCAATTTCTATTTCCTTGAAAATCAAACAAGGCTCATTTACCTGTAGCAGCAACACTGAAGTTAATTATCTTTCCACACACCACCCCGCCCCCCACCCATGGCAAAACTGAGAAAAGGGTACACAGAATTTAAAGTTTGGTGATCTGGCCGAAACCGGTTTGGCTCAGTGATACGAGCGTCGGTCTGCGGACTGAAAGGTCCCAGGTTCGATTCCGGCCAAGGGCATGTACCTGGGTTGCGAGCACATCCCCAGTAGGGGGTGTGCAAGAGGCAGCTGGTCGATGTTTCTCTCTCATGGACGTTTCTAGCTCTCTATCTCTCTCCCTTCCTCTCTGTGAAAAATCAATAAAATATATATATAAAAAAATAAAGTCTGGTGATCTGATTCCTTTATGGTTCTCTTGTTGAGAAATAAGAGCTGCCCAGCCCTCACCATTGGTATCGCGCATCTCCTCCTCTCGTTTCTTCATGTAGGCAAAATCATTAACGATAGATTCCGACAGGTCTTCCAGGCGTCGTAGCTCTACCTCTAAGGGTTTGAGCTTCTCAACTTTTGCAATCTGGAAAAGAAAGGAATCATGAACCCACTCCCTGAAAAAAAAATAGCTCTGGTCAAGAACATAAGACAAGTCTTTTAAAATATTTTACCAAACTTTAAAACTTTTCGATCATTCTAAAGTTAGCACCTCTTCTCTTCCCTACAAATGTTTATTTCCATCTCAGACTTTCTTTCTTTTTAAAAAAATATATATTTTATTGATTTTTTACAGAGGGGAAGGGAGAGAGAGATAGCTAGAAACATCGATGAGAGAGAAACATCGACCAGCTGCCTCTTGCACACCTCCTACCGGGGATGTGCCTGCAACCTATGTACATGCCCTTGACCTGAATCGAACCTGGGACCTTTCAGTCTACCGCTGAGCCAAACCGGTTTTGGCTGATCTGCTTTTTTTTGTGTGTGTTTTTTTTTGTTTTAAGGAGGGGGAGGGGTTTGACGTTGCCAAAGAAAGTGGTGGGTGGAGTTTTTTTGGTTAAGAAACAGTAATTTAGAGCTATGTTGTAACCATGTGCGTAAAGAAATGCTTAGGACGTGCCAGACTTCCACACCAGGAAACGGCGCAAAGGAAGAGCTGTGGTTTGCTTTCTGCTAGGGAATCCCCTCTTGGGTTAAGCAAAAGGTCAGCAAAGATAATGGCTCTTTCCCAGGGTCAACAAAGTCCAAGGATAATGGAAATTCCACATAGTAGGAATTCAATGAATGCTTGTTTACAGAATGGTCTGGAGTTGAGGATACAGCAGCAGTACTCAAAACCTGAAAATCATTTTACCTATTCTTCCACCTCATAATAACTAAACTTTTTACTAGTGTTTTATACCTTACAACAGCACTCTAATATATGTTATCTTATTTAAATATAAATAAGATTCTTCTAAATCGTGAAAGTTTAAAAGGATTTTTCACTTTATTTATTTTTTGGTATGGTTCTTTTCAGTTTATTGCATGGATGAGTTACATTAGTCCAAGTTAAAAGCAGACCCCAAATGGTTACATTATATAAGCTATGAGGTTTTTAACTTGTGACAAGGCAGAGAAGGGAAATTCTATTCATTGCAAGGAAATCCTCATTTTAGTTTCAGTGAGCCAAAAGCACTTAAAACCCATGAACCTTCTACTAGGAATTGATGTATGTTCTTGCGCTTGTCATCCAGTAGCTGAATTACTTCTCCATATTCTGGATGCTCAATTAAAGTACAATTGCAGACAAATTTCTCCTTAAACACCTTCACTAGTTTCTTTTGATTGCAATCATCAGAGATCCCTTGGACAGTAGAAAGGGACTTCCTGCTACTTCTCTGTTAAATTTTATATGGATATAATCCTCAGTGCCAGCAGAAAGCAGATCAGCACCTTTACTTGCATCAGCAAAGGAATTGAAAGAATGTAGGTTCTGGTTAGCGAACATTCGCTATTACCATAGGATGAATCCTTTACCTCTGGCACACAGAAAGGTGGGTGGGTGGAGGCAGAGCTTCAGGAAGTGAGGTGAGGCTCAAAGGGAGTTCTTGCTGGCGGAGGCACAGTGACTGAGGTCTCATTTTACTCTAAGTTCATCAAACAGAGTCTCTTGCTTTGTTTCTTTTAACTAAACTAGCTTGGAGACAGAAACAAGCAAATTAAAGTGTCAGGAATCGTCTTCCCTTCACTACTGCATACTTGCTCCTGTTCACTGCCTACAAATAACCCTATCTAGTTTTGTTCAGTTGAACGCTTAAACTAAGGGAAAAAAGGCCTGAAGTCCTGCAACTGTTGTACTACTTCCTATTGCAGAATCAGTCACTTGCAATCTTCTTCCATTTTAGGATATTCTGTTTGAAATCCTGACAAAAGCTAGAGCAATTTTCTGGTTCTGTTCCTCCTAGAAAATTCTCTTAAATCACTTAGAGCAACTGAGCCTGTTTATTTTTGTTTACATTCTTCAAAAGCTATTTACATTTCCTGTACCCCACCTCTTCTTCATGCCCACAGATACTGTATGTAAAGACTCTGATCTGGGTAAAAATACTCTTATCTTACTGTAAAGATCAATCCTCTGGTCTTAAATAGTTCTTGTGGCTTTTCAAAGGTGCTCTTGATTTGAAGAACCATTTTGTGCCGCCCCCAAAGTCTTGTAATAGAGGTGAAAAGAGCTCAGCCCCCTTCCCCTTGTTTTATCCACGCCTCTACTTCCCCACTACCCAAATGAATGTCAGATTTTATTCTCTATAACAATTCCTACCAGTAAAAATTTCTCATGATCACTATTCCTAGTCCCTCGCAGTTTTTCTTCCATCTTTCTCTCTTCCTTAGTCTGAAATCATTTTACCTAAAAGCTACTTAGAACTATTGTTGATTCTCAAATGTAGCACAGTTGCTCAAGTCTAAACAGTGCTGAAACCATGCCCTAGATATATATAAGGCGGGACAAAAGAAGGTTTACAGTAGTTTGTATGGAAAATATAGTAATCAATAAATAATGGAGGGAGGGATGGGGGCAGAGTGGAGGGGACAGTGGAGGAAAAAGGAGACGTCTATAATATTTTCAACAATAAATATAAATTAGAAATAAATGATAATAAAGAGGAAACTGTTTCCTGTACTCAAAACTACTTTTGTCCCACCCTGTATAGAGTTGTCAGTCTGGGAATAAAAGTCTTAGATTTTAAAAACAAATCACTTTTCTTAACTTTGGACATTAACATTTAAATGAATTCCAGCTTTTAAAAATTATAAATATATAGATCTATGTGCTGTCTCAAGAGTGCTAAGGGCATATGCTTGAGTGTTCTATCACACCAACATTGCTATAGGACAGATGGTTTAGTCAGTCATTTGGCTGACAACACAGCTAGAGTTATTGTTTAGGGCTGTTAATACAACTTTTTTTTTAAATCAGTAAAATTGTAGCTGGCTGTCACATGACTGCTGAGAAAACCATAGCCTCTGGCCAAAGCACAGCCAGTTGACCTGAGTAGGTCACAGAAACCTCTCGGCCCAGCACATGACAGCCTCCTCTGGCTGTTACAGTAGGACATACCTCTTCATAATTTTTCGCCTCCACTCCATGCTTCATGTCTAGGATCACGAGTTGGTCAGGTAACCGCCCTGTTCCTGAGAAAGAAATCAAAGGATTCATTGTGCGGAATATTTAAAATTCCGGGAAATCACCCACCCAGCCTCCCTCTCCCTAAACCTCCCCCCTCAATAGAGGGAAACAGATGCAAACTCCTCCCTCTACTCAGCTGCAGAAAATTCCTGGCTCTGGCTAAAATCACAAGCATTCCAGACAAAGCCTCTGTCTGTGCAGCAGCAAAGAGAACATGCTGCTGCCAAACATCTCTAAGCAGGCAGGACAGAAACTGCCACTGGAACTACAGGGGAATAGAAAGAAGGAGAGAAAACACGCAGGCTTATTGGACTAGGAAATAAAACTCAAAAGTCAAAATAGTATAAAACGGAGTGGCATATATAGACCAACAAGCAGTGGGGACCAACTTAGGTTGAAAAGATACATTTCCACACCTGAATAGGTTGTCCTGTCAAATTTTGAGAAAAGTGTTATTGGGCATGTACTAAGCTTAGATTTACTTAATATAAACTAGTACTGAAAAGAACACAGGATTTATCTAAGATTTCAGTTTAATTCAAACATTTTGGTAAATGTAAGGCCATTTCAATAAATAAGCAAAATGTTATAGAATTATTCCCACAGAGCCAAGAAAAAACTTGATAATAAGACTACAATTCTCAGGGATGCTTCTTAGAAAGAGAAATGTCTATTTGGTATAGTAGGGCCAACAGAACCATGTTCATATTTAAAAAGGTAATCTGATACAGCTCGATCAGAAAGGAATTCTAATCTTATATCATCAAGTAAGAGAAATGAAGACTCCAAGAGCCACAGAAAATTGCTCAGTCCTTTGGAATTCAATCCCTTGGAATTCACCTGATTATTTATAAAATAAAAACAGCCTGCATGAAATTAGGACTTTGGGGAAACAGCGCCACATAAGCATTGGGACTCCTGAGACCAAAGCCACAGAGAAAGGTTCTGTACTTTTTGTAGCCTGAGAGGCACTGGAGATTTTCTGAAACAGGCTGAAGTGAATGCAATAACTATTCATTGAGAGCTCACTGGGTGCTAGAACTGTCCTGGAGATTATAATCTTTGCTTTCTTATAATTTGATATGAACACAAGTAACAGTTACAGTGAAAATGCAGTGTCTGGACCGTTTGAAAACAGGCACTGACAAAAAAAAACTTCTTTCGGTAGATTCTTTTATATTTTGAAAATGAACTGTATGTTAAACACTGACTTTACAATCATTCAAAGTGCGTATAAATTTTTTTGGGCACCCTGTATATATTTTTAAATACTTAAATTTTACAAATATATCTTCAAATGTCTAAATAATTAATAAGTGATATACTATTAAGAGAAGCCACATTAACCTCTTTGCTATTTCTGAGACATGCTCAGCATCTCAAAGTGCTTGCTTTTTCTCCAAAGCCCTCATTACCATCTGACTTATATTGTTTATTGTCTGTTTGCTTCAATGAAAATGTAATGTCCAAGAGAGAAGAGACTTCCGTTTTATTCATTGCTAATATCCCTAACACCTAGAACAGTACTTAATATATAGGGCACTTAATAATTATTTGCTAAATGAACTGACCGAGAAATTAAGAAGGCTAGAATGTTGAGGAAAGTACTCTAAAAGAACTAAAGGTAAACTCATGTTTAAATGGGAAAAGAGCATTCCAGTAAATGAGTAAATGTGACATGTTTAGAGAGCAGAGCAAACCAGACTGGCTGGGGATCTAATGAGTAGTGGAAGATAAGGCTGGAGTGAGAGGAGAAGGACTATTAAATAGCATCACACCTAAAGTCCCGTCCAGTTCAAAAATTGTATGATTTAGCCGAAACCGGTTTGGCTTAGTGGTAGAGGTCCCAGGTTCGATTCCGGTCAAGGGCATGTACATTGGTTGCAGGCACATTCCTGGTAGGGGGTGTGCAAGAGGCAGCTGGTCGATGTTTCTCTCTCATCGACGTTTCTAGCTCTCTATCTCTCTCCCTTCCTCTCTGTAAAAAAATCAATAAAATATATATTTTTAAAAATTGTATGATTTAGGTTTCATTCTATAGATCAGGAATAGCACTGCTACCACCAAAAAGGCAGGCACCATTTTGGGGCTCAGCCCATCTGGTTTCCAGTTGATCTAATAAATTTACAATTCTTTACCAAAAAAAGAAAAAGAAAAGGGAAAGCTCTTGAAAAAGGACTAACATAATGAAAGATATGTTTAGGAGATAAATCTGGAACCAGTATTAAAAACAGGGGTATTAGTTACAAGGCTAATGACCTAATTCATGATTTAAAAGATTAGAGTTCAGATTTGTGTGGTGACAGATACAGAAGCTCTTTTGTAAGAAGTATCAACATAACTTGATGATAGATTGGAAAAGACAAAAATAATTTCAAAAATATGAGCCCAAGTCACTGGAAGGATGGTGGTAATACTGATGAGAGAGGGGAACTAGTTTGAAAGAAGTTCATGACATCTTAGTTTTGAAGTAAGAGTGGCTCAACCATGTCAAAATGTCTAGACTACTATTGAGACATTTTGGAACTAATAGGGGTGGGGGCAGGGAAAAGGTTATCAGTCACGAAATTGCTATTAAAGTATTTAATTTTCTATTCTTAATCTATTATTCCATTTACTTCAGGCAAACACCCTTAGCTTTTAGGCTCAACTGACCCAGTCTAGATCAAAGGAGTCAATTCTTGGTTAACTGTCAAAAGTACCAAGTTGATCTGCTATTCCTGGGACTCTACCAGAGTCATTGGTCAAAGTGCTTGCTTTTCTTCTATGATCAGATACTCTGAACATTCTACAAATGTGAAATTGCCAGGAGTCCTTTTGGTACCATACAGAGAAAGCCTGAGAATAAAATCAAATGGAAGAAAGGATAGGAAGTGCTAAATGATAGCTGGAGTTCCAACAATCCTGTTAAAACCCCAATATATAGGCTAGCCTGAGGTCAGCATCACCATTAAGACTTCCCAGTTTAGAGTCAAATGGTCTTCCTCTTCTTTATCTCTCTCTCTCTCTCTCTCTCTCTCTCTCTCTCTCTCTCTCTCTCTCTCTCTAATATTTTTATTAACTTCAGAGAGGAAGGGAGAGGGTGAGAGAGATAGAAACATCAATGATGAGAGAGAACCACTGATCTGCTGCCTCCTGCACGCCCCACACTGGGGATCGAGCCCGCAAGCTGGGCATGTGCCCTGACCAGGAATCAAACAGAGACCTCTTGTTCATAGGTGGCACTCAACCACTGAGCCATGCCAGCTGAGCCTTTTCTTTCTCTTTAAGCCAATTTGAATTATGTTTTTTGTATCTTGTAGTCCAAAAGAGTTCCAAATAATATAACAAGTATAAATACAGACAGCTTTTAGAATCTAGTGTCCTTAGAGTGAAAGAATAGGAAGTGAAGGGGAATGTGCCTTTTCACCCACCACTGATAATCAGAAACCGCCAGGTAATCAGCCTAAAAGTTACTATGGGATCTTGGTCTTGAGATACATAGAAGATTCCCATAGCAAGATATTAGGACTAAAAAATAGTAAGTGCTCTGAAGACCAAAACTTCTTCGGACTTTGAAGGATACCGAATAACATTTCACTCAATGTTATCCTATATCCTATATAATAAATGGCTAATATGCAGATCAAATGGCAGAATGACAGGGGGAGCGCTGCTCAGTCAGAAGCCGGGGTTCATGGCTGGCGAAAGCAGCAGTGGTGGTGAGAGTCTCTCCCACCTCTGTGGCAGTCAAACATCTCCCAAGGGCTCCTGGACTGTGAGAGGGTGCGGGCTGGGCTGAGGGACCCTCCCAACCACCCCCGAGTGCATGAATTTCATGCACCAGGCCTCTAGTTTTGTGATAATGTTGATGAGATGCCATAGGACCTCAACTCTTGTTTATATCAATTAGCCCATGGTAAAACTGGTTTCATTATATGCCGTTTTGCTTAAAGTTGCAGAACCTATTAATAACATTAGCCCTAGCTGGTTTGGCTCAGTTGGTAAAGTGTTGGCCTGAGGACTGAAGGTTGTGAGCCCATGCCCAGGTTGTAAGCTCGATCTCCAGTAAGGGACTAGCAGGAGGCAGCCTACCAATGGTTCTCTCTCACTGTTGATGTTTCTGTCTCTCTCTCTCCCTCTCTGAAATATTTAAAAAACAACCAACCAACATTAAGTGATGACTTACTATATTTTCTAGCACCTATCACAAATTAAACTCTTTTCATTCAAGCCCAGTATATCACAGCATTTAGAAAAAGCCTCTCCTGCACCTGAAGAATGATACTTTCACTTACCGTATTTTTCGGACCATAAGACGCTCTGGACCATAAGACGCACCAGTTTTTAAAGAAGGGAAATGAAGAAAAAAAGATTCTGAAACAAATAGTGTCCTAAAATATTTTATGTGCATTAAAACCCAACATCACAGTCATAAACACATGTAATCAACCCTGTAAAGTAAACAGCAGCATTTAGAACCATTTTAGAGCCGGGCAAGCACACAGAGACCACACAGAGCCGGGCAAGTAAAAAAACTTTTTTTTTAAAGTATATGTGTAGGCTATATTTGGACCATAAGACGCAGGGACTTTTCCCCCCCACTTCTGGGGGGAAAAAAGTGCGTCTTATGGTCCGAAAAATACGGTATATGTGAGTGCACTCCAGCAAGTGTAGTTTTCATTTCCTCTTCCTGCTGGCCTAAGAGAGAAAGTTCATGCTCTTTCTTACTTGAGAGAAGATGCTTAATTCAAGGACAGACAACACTCTGATTACTTACCCTTGCTCTCAAAACACACTTCGAACATGTCATAATCTTCAGTGGTAAAGGCAAATTTTCCCTTGGTTGCATCCTCCTTGGAGTATAGAATATGGCCAGCAGAATCTGTGATCTAAAATAAAAAAGTAAGTAAGAGCAGGCAGCAAATAACACTCAGGAAGAAAACTGATAGAAACTGGAGAAATAGAAAGAAACACTGTCTATAAAAGACATTTATCATAATGATGACCATGTTCCAACCATTCCCAAAGACAGGAATAGGATTGGAGGATGAAGCCCAAATATAGCAAATTTCATTCATTCAAGCAGCCTATCCACACTGTAAGTTAAAATCTGTTGCCACTTTAGAATGACAGGTGAGATATAAATTGGGTTTAGTAGTAGCAAAGGTTCACTTTATAGAATGTAGAACAGTATTTCCCAGAAAAGGATATGTCACAAAAATTGAAATGGATGACTACCAAAAGAATATACTACAAAAGGGATAAAGATACATAAGAACACGTCTCTTCTGTAAAATAATTCTTGATAGGGTTGAGGTGGGGCTGGAGAGTGGAATGGGATATCTGATATAAGAAGAGAAGGAAAGGAAGGCATACACAAAAAAGAAAATCTGGTAGCTATATTCCTCCAAATGTCATGTTAATTTGTCAGTTGCTTCCTGGGATGGGAAAGAAGCCCAGGGATAAACAAAAAGTTCTCCTAAAGAAGGCATCCTTGGCTTCCACAAATGGTAATGCCTTTCTTATAGGTTGTTAGCTTTACGTCTCCAAACTTAAACTGCTCCATTCCTGGAGAATGGCCTGTAAAGAAGGGAATTACATGGTAACTTGACAGATTGGATCTCAAGCTTCTTTTCTAGAGCACATGGCTATCTCAGCAGAAGGCAATTTCATTATCTAAGGCAGAAACTACTTGCAACGTGAACCACAAAAGTAGTGACTTCATTATATTAAACTGGATGTTCTAGTGCTGTTTTTAAAACAAGATTCATCTAGAAGGTGAGATTTTAAATTTAACAACTGAGTAGCACACATATAAAGCACTTCACTAGTTATTTCTTTTTTTTTTAATCTTTTTGTTAAAATATATATTTTATTGATTTTTAAAAATATTTTATTGATTTTGTACAGAGAGGAAGAGAGATAGTTAGAAACATCGATGAGAGAGAGTCATCGATCAGCTGCCTCTTGCACACCCCCTACAGGGGATATGCCCGCAACCAAGGTACATGCCCTTGACCGGAATCGAACCTGGGACCTTTCAGTCCCCAAGCCGACGCTCTATCCATTGAGCCAAACCAGTTTCGGCTATTTTATTGATTTTTTTACAGAGAGGAAAAGAGAGGGAAAGAGAGTTAGAAACATCGATGAGAGACATTGACCAGCTGCCTCTGCAGGATGTGCCTGCAACCAAGGTACATGCCCTTGACCAGAATCGAACCTGGGACCTTTCAGTCCACAGGCCGATGCTCTATCCCACATGTGTCAAACACAAGGCCCGAGGGCCAAATCCGTCCCGCCAGGCCTTGCAATGTGGCCCGCACCGCGCTGTCATCACTGCACTCCACTGCGTTTCCATCACAATGACAGTTTATGCCTGTTCAGTAAACCATTCGGCCCGCTATTTAGGCTGGATTTTAGATTTTGGCCCCTTCTCTGATTGAGTTCGACACCCCTACTCTATCCACTGAGCCAAACCGGTTTCGCCACTAGTTATTTCTGAGTAGTGAGTTTTCTTTATACTTTTAGTTTTCTTTCAATTTTTCTACAAAGGCACATATCACTTATGCTCAGAAACAAAGTTATTTCATTTTTTTGCGGAAAACATATAACTAAAGAGTAGTTATCACAGATAGACAAATTTTAAATGATGGATTAATAAAAAAGGTTTTATGACATCTTCCAAATTCCCTAAAAATAACAGTAGTAATAGTAGGAGCAGCCAGACCTGGGGCAGTGGCAGCCAGGCCTGAGGCAGAGGCGGCCAAGCCCAGGGTGGCCAGTCCAGGAACACCCAGACCCGGAGTGGCCGGGCCCGGAGAAGCCGGGCCCAGAGAAGCCGGGTTGGGAGCAGCCAGGCCCAGAACAGCAGAAGCCAAGCCCAAAGCATCCAGCCCGGGTGCGGCCAGGCTCGGAGCAGCCGGGCCCGGGGCAACCGGGCCCAGAGCAGCCGGGTCTGGTGCGGCCAGGCCCGGAGCAGCGACTGCCAGGCTGGGAGCGGCCAGGCCCGGAGCAGCAGCTGCCAGGCTGGGAGCGGCCAGGCCCGGAGCAACCGGGTCTGATGCGGCCAGGCCCGGAGCAGCGGCTGACAGGCTGGGAGCAGCCAGGCCCGGAACGGCCGGGCCCGAAACAACCGGGCCCAGAGCAGCCGGGTCAGGTGTGGCCAGGCCTGTAGCAGCAACAGCCAAGTCCAGAGCAACTAGGTCGGGAGCGGCAGTGACCAGACCTGGAGCAGCGACTGCCAGGCTGGGAGCGGCCAGGCCCGTAGCAGCCGGGTATGGTGCGGCCAGGCCCGGAGCAGTGGCTGCCAGGCTGGGAGCGGCCAGGCCCAGAGCGGCCGGGCCCGGAACAACCGGGCCCAGAGCAGCCGGGTCGGGTGTGGCCAGGCCTGTAGCAGCAACAGCCAAGTCCAGAGCAACTAGGTCGGGAGTGGCAGTGACCAGACCTGGAGCAGCAACTGCCAGGCTGGGAGTGGCCAGGCCCGGAGCAGCCAGGTCTGGTGTGGCCAGGCCTGGAGCAGTGGCTGCCAGGCTGGAAGCGGCCAGGCTTGGAGCAGCGGCTGCCAAGCTGGGAGCGGCCAGGCCCGAAGCAGCCGGGTCTGGTGCGGCCAGGCCTGGAGCAGTGGCTGCCAGGCTGGGTGCGGCCAGGCCCGAAGCAGCGGCTGCCAGGCTGGGAGCGGCCAGGCCCGGAGCAGCCGGGTCTTGTGCGGCCAGGCCTGGAGCAGTGGCTGTCAGGCTGGGAGCAGCCAGGCCCGGAGCGGCCGGGCCCGGAGCAATTGGGCCCAGAGCAGCCGAGTCGGGTGTGGCCAGGCCTGTAGCAGCAACAGCCAAGTCCAGAGCAACTGGGTCGGGAGCGGCAGTGACCAGACACGGAGCAGCTGGTTGTGGAACGAACCAGAGCAACAGAGGCCAGGCCCGGAGCAGCCTGGCCCGAAACAGTTTGCTTCTCACCTGCCCCTGCCCCACGGCTGCCTCTCAGACATGGCTGGAAACTTTTGCGGGAACTTGAGGGTCTGCTGAATCAAGTGATGAAGGCTTATATCTGGATGTGTTGAGTTAGTATAGTGCTGGGGTGTTGATCTGTGAGTGCCTTGGGTGGGGCCTGGATGAGGCTGGTTGTCCTATTTGGAAATGTCTTTTGTGTGAAGTGTATCATTGGGCATGTGGAGGTATTATTGATATGAGAAAATGCTAAGTAACAGATTTGCTATCTGAAAAGGGATTTACTATTGGGGAAAGGGAGGGAGGAAGAGACTGAACATAAACTGTGCACCAATGGATGAGGATGAGGGGGCAGAGGGTGGGGTGGGAACCTGGTGGAGGGGGGAAGAAACGAGGAACCTTTGTAATAATTTGAACAATAAAGATTGATTTAAAAAAAAATAACAGTAGTAATAGTAATCAAGTATCTTCTGTCATAAATGATGCTGATCATTCATGACTGTCAAGCATTTAAGATGCCTCAATCTTCATTGGTCATTGGGGATACAAGGATGTGTAAGATAGTTCCTATCTAAATGAGGAGAGGAATAAGAAAGGAGACCACTACGCCGTGAAAAATGCATTACTAAATTACCAGTATAAGTCCATAGGGTGTGGTTGACAATATGGAAAACTGGATGGGTCTGTCTTAAGGAAGAAAACAGTGACAGCCATGACATGCCAGGTTTTCAAATCATCCAATTTTTCAAAAGAAGTTGTGGACATTTTAACTTTTATTTAAAATCTAATTTTTAAATCCTTACAACCAATCCCAACATTTGAAAAACTATCTCAGGGCCAAAAAAAGATGTCTATAGAACCAAGTTCTTCTGAGCAACCAATTTCTGATCTTTGTATAACAGCAGGAAATAAACATCAAGGGTATAAGTACTGAAGAGTCATCACAGAAGTCATCATCTTCAGTCAGGCAAGGGAAGAGCCTGGGTCACTGGCCTACAACAAACAGCCCAACTTAATCGGGCTTACAAGATTTGGCACACATTTTTGCAATCTTATGTCCTAGAGCAGTGGTTCTCAACCTTTCTAATGTTGAAATCTTACAAGATTTGGCACACATTTTTGCCATCTTATGTCTCTATAGCAGCAGTTCGCAACCTGTGGCTCGCAATCCACAGGTTGAGAACCGCTAGCAGGGTCACCTAAGACCATAGAAAACACAGATGTTTACATTACGATTCATAACAGTAGCAAAATTACAGTTATGAAGTAGCAACGAAAATAATTTTATGGTTGGGGGTCACCACAACATGAGGAACTGTATTAAAGGGCTGAGGCATTATTATAGAAAGGTTGAGAACCACTGGCCTAGAGTAATAGCTTATGATCTCTTTGTATTCTCCTAAGATATTAAAGGGATTCTAAAGGTATTGGCAAAAATCCTTTATTGAGTAACTTGCAAAATGAATCAAGAAGTCTGTCATGTTTTTCTGAAAGGCCTGATACAACCCACTCCTCTAACTGGTACTTGAAGGGATAAAAACTGTTTAAATTATCCTCCACTTTGTACTGAGGAACTATAATCATGGTAAAACCTCTTGCTTTGTTGTTTCTTTCTATAATATCTGAAAATGTAAAAGTTCATTTTAGGGCAAAAACTCAAATGCTTTACAAGAGGCTGAAGATAAAGGACCCATCACTGCATGTATCTTCTTCAACATGAAATTTATCTCCCAGAATGGTGTGTGAGAATGATCACAATTCCCTTGGGGCCTCCACATTTCTATATTCCTTATGATATGAGGGTATTTGTCTTGAAACTTGGAAATCCATTCAGATAGCTTGACAACTTAACCTTCGGGTCAGGTATAACAGATCCTAGAGTTTTTCTGAAAATCAGTTGATTTTCCATGTAGTTCATAACTGTGCAGCTATTTTAGGAGCCAAGTCAC